CTCAGCTGCTTTGAAATCAGTAGGGCTTGCTGCGTGCTTGGCATCAATGAGTATTGGGTACCAATTCTTATTTTGCCAGAGCTTAGGAAGCAAAATAGCTGACATCTGTAATGAACAGGAGGACATGAATTATGTAGACAAATAAACTAGCAATTACTGCTGCACATTTATCTTCACCTCTGTAAATGATAAACTTTAATGTTCCATATGGAAGCCCTGTGTATAAATTAGTTTCTCTGCATTTGGGGCTGTTGAAATCTCTGTGGATGTGAGATGGAGTTCCTTTTATATCTCCTATCTCAGTTTGAGGCAGCAGCTCCCTCTATGCCATGCTGCAAATGCTCTGTGAGATTTTGGGTGTAAAGAAAGCAGACTTCATTAGGATCCTGTGTGCATCCAGCTTGAAGGAGTATATAGTGTTTTCCTGAGTAATTCTGATGAAATTAAAGATAGAGCACTTTCAGAAGTTATTCTCTGATTCTCTTCTCTTATTTACGTATTTCTTCCCCGTTACCCAGGAAGAGGGAGTTGATAGTTTAATCTTCATCCTGACACTATTAAAATAAGTAATTCCTAGGTGTTTTTGTATTGTGCCTCATTGAGAAACTGAGTGTGTTAAGTCTTACTTCTGATTTCAGAAATACATAGCATTATCAAATTATCATTCTCTCCCTAGCTTCTATAAAGCTGCAGCATATCCTTGTATAAAAGCTATTGGCTGTGTTTTTGTCTGCATGTCTCCTAAAAGCATAAGGTTTATTGGACAAATGAAGTTACACCTAGCATTTAGTTTGGTTGTATTTCTGCCTAACTGAAGCATGTTAACTTTTTCACCCCATCTAGTCAGCTCCAGGGTTGGAGACAGTAAGGACCACGACACTGAGAACATTCATACTAACTCTGAAGGAAGGCAAACGAACTAGAAAGCTTGCTTTTGACTCTCAGTTTTAAACTAAAATAGAGGAGGTTAGATGTTGAGCAGAAATCCTTTACTTAAATGACAATGAGGCGCTGGCACAGCTGCCCTGTGAGAGAAGCTGTGGTGCCCCATCCCTGCAGGCGCTCAAGGCCAGGTTGGACGGGGCCCTGGGCAGCCTGAGCTGGTGGGGGGCAGCCCTGCCCATGGCTGGGGTTGGGGCTGAGTGGGCTGTGAGCTCCATTCCAACCCAAACTGTCCTGTGATTCTATGAAAATCAGTGACTGGTGAAATGTATCAGTGATTATATGCTTAAGAAGAGGCAGGGCTTTGGTGGTCTCTATGTTGTCCTACTGACAAACCCCACTTTATTCAAATGCTGAATAAGAGTAACTATACATAGAGACGTTAACTGTAAAGCAGCAGGAGAGGATCTAGATTGAAACACTCCAAGGGTACTTCATTTCAGTGCAGTTTTTCTTGGAAAATGACCAGGTTGCCTACCTGCTTCATTTCCTGTCATCTAGTCAGTCAAGGGTTTCTGAACTGTGTTTGCCAAGCCTGAGTTCAGAAGCAATGAAGTGTGAGACTTTCTAGCTCTAAACAATACAATTTTTAGTTGTGTGTAGTCTTTATAATCTTTGCCTTGCTTGGATATATGTTTGATTTTTTTTTTTCTCCTATAAAATGTTTGACTTAATGGTGGGCAGTCCTGGTGATGTTGTACTGAATGCTACATCTCAAGTTTCCATGCTGAAGAAACATGAGTCTTAGGGCTTTTGCAGTAGTGAATTTTTGTAAGGCCCTACAAGGCATAATCTATCTTCAATGAAATCCAGGATGAAATATCTTCTTAATAATGTTTAAGACTGGAGAAATAGCACAGAAAAGAACCAGAAGTTGCATAATGGTTTCTTACTCCTTTTTAGATCCTGAAGCACTGAGGGACATGGTTAGTAGGCATGGTCGTGATGGGTCTGTGGTTGGATTAGATGATCTTAGAGATCTTTTCCAACCTTAATGATTCTGTGATTCTATGCAGGTATGGACTGCTATGGTTTAAACCCTGTCACTGTGTCACAACCAGTGCCACATAAGCAAAAGCTGAGGCCTAGTGACACAGCTTGGGCCCTTCATGCCTCCCAGGCCATGGGAGTCCCAGTCTACCTTTCTCTCACAGTTTCCTAATGTTTGGGCAAGATCTTCACTATTGGCTCTTTTTAGAGGCAAATCTTTTTTCTTTTTGTTTTGTTTTGTTTTGTTTTGTTTGTTTGTTTGTTTGCTTGCTTGCTTTCCAGTACTTGTTTGGATGGGCTGCTCCAGATTGCTGGTCTGGGGCACTGCAGTTTCTTCTGTGCCTGCTGTAGAGCTCGGGTCTGGTTGTGCTTTGAGACAGACATGGCTTTGTTTGTATTAGCAGGGACACCATGCCATTTCCAGGACAAATCTTAATTCCTAGAAAGGCCACATGAAGGCCAAATTTTGCTGCTGCTTTCCTGCCCTACGTTTGCCAACTTTTGCAGATGCTTATTTGTAATGCAGCTGTGGACTGTGATCCGTGGCTCAGGCGGGCTCTAAAAAGCTTGTAGCAACTTTTCTGTGTCTGCTAGGAGAGCTGAAGTATTCTGTATATCTCCAGGGGATGACATGTTAATCATATGCATGCATGTGCTGCCATTTATCTTGGTGATTTGCTGATGTCTGTTCAAAGAAAGAACTATGCACAAACATACATGAGAAAGGCTCAGTATTCCAAATGAAAACATACATTTTTGCCCCATGAAATCCAATGTTTTCTAGCATATATTTCTATAGAAAGTCTGATTTCATAATGAGCAGAGCCTTGGGAAGAGTAAGGATAGCTCTGAGCACCCTCTCAACATTCTGAGGTCTAGTGACTAAAACCTAACATAGCATCCCAATGTGTAATGTTTTTTCTTCAAACAGCGGAGAAGTCCGAAATCTGAATAGCCATTCACCACTGTTGTTTCAGATTTGCTGAGGATAGGCGGCCCTTGGTAGCTTTTGAGTGACAGAAGGAAGCTGCCATCTTTCACCTGGATTTCAAAATGCTTCAGATACCATAACTGTGCAAGATCCTAGTGAAGCAGATGGCGTTACTTGTTTCACTGTGCTTTGATGGAAGCACATTCAACCTTATGCTTCTTCCATTGAAACGTGTGAATGGAAGGGAAAGGAGTGGGGAAGATGAGGGAAATGAGGGAGAGGCTGTGCATTGCAGGAGGTACTTTAAATTTACTTTCAGACCTTCCGTTGTGAACGTCCCCACTGCTTTTAAAGAAAGCAGACCTGAAAACCAAAGAGGCAGCTGGTACATAAGATTATGTGATGGAACAGAGAGGTTGAGATAAAAAGAATATCTCAAAAATAAGGAAATGAGGTTTGCCTTTGGGTCGAAGTGGGCATTAGTCTGCCACTCATGCTCTGTTAAATAAAGGCCATTAAAAGATCTACAGGGAAATCTTCTGTTTTTTCCTCTTTATGAGTGCAGCCTGAGGGGCATCTGCAGTGCTTCTCTATAGAAACCTCCCATCTCTCTGCACAGTAACAGATTTGCTGTGATTTTAGCCCTCACCACCAGCTGCAAGATTTCCTTACACCAGTACTCTATTAAGAAACAAAATGGGGATGGGCCACCTACAGACTTTGCTGTTTCTTCCCCAAGTCTTTCCATGTCATAAACTGGATAGGAACCCTTGAGATACAGGGAAACCAGACTCTTAAAATGCATATTAAAGGGTTATAATTGTTTCAAATAGTAGAGCATAAATGCTTTTTATTGTAAGCCAGAGTTCTCTTTCCAGTGCAAAGCCGCTTGTTTGTTTTGGCAGCAAAGGCCACTTCTATTGCTCCCTGGGGGCTGTGGTAAAACTTTCAGCAGCTCAGATCAGGCACAGAAACCAGCCCTTTGTCCAGCCAGAGGCATGAAAACAAGTTTTGCTCTTTGGATTTCAGAATCCCTTGCAACTCGCTTCCTGGCTGAGTAAGGACTCAGAGCTTTTCATGATGCTGCACTGAGAGATGAACAGGAGTTGGATTTACTCTTACTCCCCTGTAGGCAGGAGAGCCAAAGTCTTTGCTAATCCTGGTCTGGAGGTGTGGCAGAAACACCAGCACCTGCTTTGGCAGGTCAGGGGCAAAAGGAGATGTTTAGGAAAACTGCAGGAATTGGTGGGTTTCTCCAGCAGCGCTGCACCCTGCTGTGCTCTGGGTAGGTAGCCAGACAGGGACATTTCTTTCCCTACAACTCAGAGGTGAGGTGGGAAGGAAGACAAGGAGCTAGGAAGAGTTAAAATTACCATATGAGATTGTTTTGTCTGTGTTATAGAAAGGAGAGTATCTACTTCACACCTCAGGTAAGAGGCTGGCTGTTCCCAGGAACCCATACTTGGGGAAGATTCTGCTCCACTTGGTGTCTCTCTTGCTGAGCAGGGGGAGTGGAAAAAGCTCAGCTTCCAGAGCCACACACTAGAAGGGATGCTGTGTTTCTAGAGCTGGGTGCTTGAACTTTAACAAGGCCAGGTTGAATGGGGCCCTGGGTAGCCTGATCTAGTGAGTGGCATCCCTGCCTGTGGCTGGGGAGTTAGAACTGGGTGGGCTTTGAGGTCCTTTCCAACCCGTACCATTCTGTGGTTCTCTGAAAAAGGGCGGGATTTGTAGAAGCAAATTCGGTGGTTGTTCAGTTTTTGTGTCAAAGCTCAAGTATGGGCAGATGCTGGCTTTTGGTAAGATAGATGGATTTGAGCACCTTTCTTGGCATGCTGTAGAACAGAAAGCCTGTTCCTATCCATAGTGGGGCTACCAGCAAGCTCTCTATTCTCCCTTGGCAATCATCAGCCTTGCAGTGACTAGCCCTAGGTGTCTGACCTCTGTATGTGGCCTTAATATAACATCTCCAGATACTGGAAATCAGTTTTTTTTCTGTCCATCCCTTTGGAGTTGTAAAAGTCTTGAGGACTCCTATCAACAGAACAGCACCGATGAGTCTCTTCAGGATCACTATGTACTGAATTTGGATGTCTTCAGTGATAGCTCCTGACAGCTTTCTCCTCTTGCTTTGCAGATCACAGGTGTTATCCTTCTCGCAGTCGGCGTCTGGGGCAAGCTCACTCTAGGCACGTACATCTCTCTTATCGCGGAGAACTCCACCAATGCCCCCTATGTGCTCATCGGGACGGGTACCACAATCATTGTCTTTGGGCTTTTTGGCTGCTTTGCCACTTGTCGTGGCAGCCCATGGATGCTGAAACTGGTAAGTGTGCTGAAGTGCCAAAGTGCAGAAGAAGGGAAGAGGTTTTGTCAATACGCTATGATTTCTCGCTCCCACCCCAAGCTTCACCAGATGTTAACATGTTTTTTTAGGCACAGAATCTAGATTTTATGGATCTTAATGTTCAACACATGTTTCTTTTGGATAAAGAAGTGAAAAAAAAATAACCTGCCAAAGCTAGTTGATTGAGTATGAATGAATTTTGCTACTGCACAGCATACAGGCTCATGTGTGGCTGAGAGCAAGGCTAAAGTGCCACTGATGAATTACTCCATGACCAGTTCTATGGCCATTCTGTATTTATGTGAGCCAGACAGGTGTATTTACAGTCTTAAAAATGTTCACAGCACCATAAATGTGAAATGCATTTGAAATATAGATTAAGGGGGTCTTTTTAATACTCTGGTGTGAAATCTATAGAAAAATATTTGATACTTTCTAAATGTGTGCCAGCCTTGCTTTTTTTTCCTAACATTCACTCAAATAAAGTATGTCAACCCCAGAAAACAAAGCTCTGTACTGTATGCTTTTCCACCTTTCAAAAGCACTGTGGAATGGAGCTACTCAAAGCAGAGGTACAGCAGTCATCTCTCAGTCCAGTTTAACCTCTCTCACTATAAGTTTCTCTGTTCTGAGTTTTCCAGTTCACTTTAAAATGCAAATTTACTAGTAGTTAAACAAATCTGTATCATGGACTGTATATTTTAGGAATATTCAGGAGCAAAATCTTACATATGTACATATGTAGCCATTTGTTGGGTAGAAATACCACTTGTGAAGTACTGACACGATGGAAAAGGGCTTGACAGTAAACTCATCTGCTGCTGAAGTATTTTGGGGCCAATTTCCTAAGAAGATGAGCTGATTCTCCCCTTAAAAAGGGCATTGTAAAGAGAGTTAATTTGCTAAGGTGGTGGCACGGTGGGGCACAAGCACGAGCTGCAGACTGACAGCAGGTATATGCTCTTATACCTGATGCTATTGAAGGTGCACTACTGTTTCTGGCTGGTGATGTGTTGTCAGGGTGTGTAGAGGCTTGTCAGAGTTATTGCAGTCCAGATGTGAAAGAAAGAAATAAAGAGTGAAAGAAGATAAAAGTCCATAGGAAATCAAGCTCTGCGGGTTGCTCCATAAGTCATGCAACTTGTTTAAAGGTATGTCCTCTAACTTAGCGTGGCATGTTGCTGTTCCAAGCAGATCATTCTATTTTCATTGAGCACATGAGAAATATTTCAAAACCTTATTTCTTTGCCTGAAAACAGACAGCGATGTGACAGCAGCATTTGTTGTGGAGAGTGATTTTTCTTGTTCTGTCTCCACTTTTGTCCTCCCTTCTTCAGCAACCTTCAATTAAAATTAAATTTCCTTCTTTCCATCAAATCCGTTTAGGACTGAATTTAATTTGTTTCCTTTTTAGAGTAACTGTTGAGTATTTAGAACATGGTGCAAAAAGTCATTTTCCCACAGGAAGATTAAGTCCCAACTTCACATTTTACCACCTCACTTTGCATTTATTTCTTTGCTTTTTTTTTTAAATATTTTTGGCCTGTATTTTTCATAGTTTGTGAGAGGAGCTACACTGAAAGCTACTGTTCTCAGGGTTTATTTAGCTCTGAATCCAGTTGCTGCTCAAATTCAAACATGGGCTTTGGCTCAGCAAAATGTTAGGGCCATCTGTGTAGTATTCCCATGAGAATGTTTCCAGTGAAGTCAGTCAGTTCATTCATTTGAGAAACTTCAGGAGTCAGGCTGGAAATCCCAATCTAACAGCAAGAGATGGATAAACGTGAGCCAAAACACCTGGAGAAGCCTATTTATCAGAGGGCCACAAATACAAAAGGTCTGTTTGTATTCCTTACTGCAAGATCAAAACTCTAGTGACTTGTGATCCATCTCTGAAATGTGTGTTTTAATTTATATGAAAACACTAAGACATACAGGAACAGAAAGGTCAGAAGACCTAGTAAGTGGAAAGTGCATGTAATTTGTGAGTTGCATAAATACATACTACATATTCATGCTGTAGCCTATGTATTGTTTTCAAATAAACTTTGTTAACATCTTTAAATGGTATCTAGAGCAAAAATTGTAGATTAAACTCTGTGATGAACAGTATTTGTGATGAAAGAAAAGCCTGTCACACTCTGACTTCTCATGCCTCCTTTCTTTTCAGTATGCCATGTTCTTATCCCTGGTGTTCCTGGCTGAGCTAGTGGCTGGCATTTCAGGGTTTGTGTTTCGCCATGAGGTAGGTGGAAATGTGCTGAGGTTGCATGTGGCAGTGCCTCCCTGGGCACGAGCTGCTAAGAAGTGCTCTGGAGCATGGACAATTTGTAGGTCGCTGAGTTCAGCAGCTCCATATGCATCTCCAGGGATGTGGCTGACGTTCAATAATAACGTGTACAGCTCTTAAAAATGATACGATTCCAAATGAAGGGATTTAGCCAAAGCTCTCGGCCTCAGCTGTCTGGTATTTACTCTGGAGCTATCGGTTTTTGTGTGTCCATCATGTAAGATCATCTTTACTCTTCTGCGTATGCTGAAGACTGCAAAACAGATTAAATACTTTTCTTAAACACAACTTCTTCAGCCAGGCAAGCACTTGTTTATATAAGGCAGAGAGCACTTTTGCATCTGAGCATGTTTGATGTTTCATAAACCTTTTTCTTTTCTCTTTTTTTTTCAGGGAGGAGGTGGAATAGGGTAGTATTTTTATACTGAGAATAGGGAGATTAGAAGTAGCATGAGGTAGGAAACTGGGACAGGAAGAAGCTTTAAAAAAACATGATTTGTAGTAGCACTTCTGCTTCATCCACTGTAATCAGGTCTATCTCTGGTTTTAAGTCCATGAACCTATATGCAGTTAATGCTGAATCAGAACAAAACCCCAGAGACCTTCGTAGTCTCCTCTCTTTGTATTAGCTGTTTTTTTAGTCTCCTCTTTTGACATGAGAATTCCCTTGGTATGGATTTTTCTGATTCCTTACAAGTGGTGGGTGGTTTTTAATTTGATTTTGAAAGACCTGTCCATCTGCTCAAGGTTGCCATTTTATCTGGCCTTGGCAGCCTTGGTGTGACACTGCTGCTCCCCGGTAGCAGAGGCAGTCTCTTGTGAAGGTCACCACAATGTGGGTTGACCAAATCATCTGCTGCCTGCTGCCTGTCCTCTTCACAGCTTCCTCTTCACATCTTCCTACTGTTTCATAAGGGACTTCCCTGGTTAACCACTAACAGTTCTTGTGTGCTTGCAGTGGTCACATTTTTGCACGTTCCTTGGTTGCTGGTTAGCTTGAAAAGGAAAAAAAATCCTCAAAACCAATGATTTTCTCTTGATCTGGGAAAAAAAAAATAAAAGGTTAAAACCTTAACTGGGTAGTCTGAAGCTGTCAGTTTGCAGGTCCATACACAGGATCTCCTCAATCTCATTATGTATGCCAAGGATCTGTGATCCTGAAGCATTTGCTTTCAACTGTGATTTGTGGAGCCATCCTTTTGCCGTCTGCTTTTGCTTCTAGAAAGTCATGGTTCAATTGAACCAGTACATACAAGCCCCAAACATCCCAAAAACCTTCTTAATGCATAACTTTTTTACATTAACACCCAAACCATCAGTATTCTTGTTTTTTAAATCAAAGCAGTTTGCTCAGGTAGTGTTCTTTGAATATGCCCCACTTGGAAAATACCATCAGTAGACTCCTGGCAGTAAAGAAGGACCTCCACCATCTCTGAAAGCATACTTTAAAAAGAGTTTGAAGGGCTACCTTAGTTTGCCTTTTTAGGTTTAAAAATGTGTTTATTTCCTGCAATTACTGCTCAGATGTTATGCCTTTCATTTTTCACTTGTGGTTGTTTTTTCTTCCTCGCCTCTTAGATCAAGGATACCTTCCTTAGGACATACACTGAAGCAATCCAGAATTACAATAAGAATGATGAGCGGAGCCATGCAGTGGATAATGTACAGGAAAGTGTAAGTCTGAAATTGGATATTAAAAATGAATAAAGTGAGACAAAGCATACTTTCACATTTGATCACAGAACATGAAGTGCCAACGTCTCAATCTGCAGGTTGTATTTTGCAAGCAAAATTCAGCCTTTAAGGTTTGGTCTTGCTTCACATCTCTGATTATAGCCCAGCCTATTTATGTGTCTGTTTTTTTACTGTATGAAATTAGGTTCCTGTATGCTTGAGATGACATGCTCTGGCAAAGTTAATGGGAACTTTACCATACGCACCAGTGAAACTAGGTTTTGCCCAGAGCATCTACCAGTTGTAGAATAGTTGTCTCACGAAGCATGCCCTATTTTGTTTAGGAGATTTGCTGGATGCTATGCCAAAGGCATCAGGAGATACTAAATGTCAATATTTCAAAAACAATATTGCAACAGCTCCATACTGGTGTACTCCTAATGCTGTTGTTTTGTCAAATTGATTGCAATTACTTCTAATCTTGTGCCTGGCTGATGTTAGAAAACATATACCAGGGGGGTGGAAACTTTTAACAATTGATTCAGATAAACTGATGTGAGCCCAAATTAGAGACTGGCAAAAATCGAAATAAAAAGTATTGCATCTGACATGCTTGTACAAGATTGCTAAATTTTAATGAGCTCAGTACAAACTGCCCAATAAAGATGAGACCTGTACTGTTTGACCCCAGATCCTGAACTACATTTAGGAGATAGTTTTTTCTTTAAGAGTGGTGGGCACTGGGTAGCCCTTATTCTTCAGGGAATCTGTCATTAGGATTATAAAACGTTGTAGATGTGAGCTAGATCAGATTTTTTTTTTATTATCTAGTATCCTGCATCATTCATCAGCTGCAGCTGTTTTGTTCACAAAGCACAGTGAATGGCTGGCAGAGGAGACCAATGAGTTAAGAGAAGAAACTGAGTGTATTTTTCCCAAAGAAGAAAGCAGATGTAGCTACTTATAGGTACTCATGGGTGACGTGTATAAAGGGTACAAGGCTCTGATTATTCTTGTTTAGCAGCAGAAACCAAGTAAGTATGGACTTGAGGAAATTGGGAGATCATTTTGAAGAAAGTTTGAAGTAAGATTTCAATATCCAATTTGTCGGTTTTTGTTGTTTGTTTGTTAAATCTACCTCTTTTTTCCCACAGCTGAGCTGCTGTGGCATTCAGAGCTATACCAACTGGAGCACCAGCCCTTACTTCTTCAAACATGGCATCCCTACAAGCTGTTGCATGAACTCCAGTGACTGCAATACTCAGGATCTGCGCAATATGACCGTGGCTGCCACTAAAGTAAACCAGAAGGTACTAAAAACGTTGTGCCAGTGGAAAATGTTATGAAAGTATCTAATATATCAGTGGAGCATATGGCTACTTGTAATGGCATTTCATTTCACGTGGTTGTTGATAAGAATGTGTATTGGGGTGGAGTGATGGTAACGATAGGCTTTGCCTCCCTCTTGCTTTCGAATTCCTTAATCTGACCTTTCTCAAATGGCTGGTTGCAGTGACATTTCTGATAAGAAGGAAACTTGTTCCCCTTCCTTGTAACACTGATTCAAGTACTGCACTGCACACAGAAGCAATGCTGACTAGGCCAAGAGTGCATGCAGCATGTGTTTGCCCTTAAGAGCCAGGTCTGTCACTGTTTCTCTGCTGAATGCTGTGTTTTTTTGTAGTGAGGTGGAGGGAAGGATAGGTTTTATTCCTGGTTGTGTTCCAGATATATCAGTCATAGGACATAGCTATGGGAAGACAGAACAGTAGTAGGAAAGCAGGTTATGAAAACAGGGAGAAAAGGAATAATTGGGAAATAAAGACACAGGGAAGAGTAAAGGGCAAACAATGCAGCACGTAGCAGACACAGCACTGGAGAAATACAACTCAAGTTTTCCCCTGAAGTACTGGTGGATTATCAATTCTTTCTATTCAAAATTTGCAAGAGGCAACAGACAGTTTATTGATAAAATGATTTTTTTGTAGCCTATTTACCAAGCTGAGCTGTGGCGTACCTCACTTTGACTTAAGGATTATTTTCTTTGCTATTTTTGTTTTCAGAGCTGAATACACAAAAGAAGGGAAAAAGAGAAAATACAGGCATGCCTTTCTGTTTCTGTTTCTGTCATTTTCACCTCAATCACCTGTGGATCAGAAAGTTGGAATGGTGGCTGAGCAGAGCCTGCAACATCTTTCTTTGAAAAGCAGTCAAGTAGACAAGATTTTCTAGCATGTATTAACAAAGGGATAGTAGAGGATTATTTCCCAATGACTTTTTCTCTTCTGAACACTTTATTTTCTGTAATAGTTTAGTGAGAGCCACTTGTTGCAGATGTGCTTGGAGCAGTAGCGACCCATCTGTTATGAAACTCACAGTAGTCACCAGCAAAGTAATGCTGCTAGGTTGCATAAGATATATATATATATAGAATATGAAAGATGATCAAGTCCATTCATTTTCACTTTGTGAACCTGTAGTAACTTTATGTTTTCATCGAAGTGGAAAAATGGTGAGAGGCAGGAAAAAGGTGGATCTAGGAGAGCTGCAGTACAGCCAGATCCCCTGCAGGGGATGTGTATATGCACCCTCAGAAACTGTCTTGTCCTCTACCAGGGGGTCCAATTTGGGATGGCCACATGCTTTGACCCTTTCCAGGCTGCATAACTGTACAGGTGCCATTTGCGTTTGCACTGCCAAGCGTAGTGTTGCACTGAGGACTCTGTCTGTGAGTTCTCTTGGTCACCCACAGATTTTATAAGGAGCAGCTGATGAATGAATTTGTGTTAGTCCAGTGCTAGTGAGTCACTTCTAGCCACGCTTACTTCTCAACTTGTGTCTTCTAATGCCCATGTCATTCAATAGAACTGCTGATTCCTCAGTTGGAAAGTCCTGTGACTTCTGAAAAACTGTGTCTAATTTTCTGAGATAGACATTTGTATTCAGAAGTTGTAAAGATTTCTACTTAGCATCTGTCAGATCTTGGAGTTGTCCTTAATGCTCGAACAAGGTGAGATGTGAAAGGGGCACAAAAAATAAGAAGGAAATTGTGAGAAAAGGTTGTGTGGCCTTCTGGTTTCACTTCAGATAAGAATCAAAAGCCATTGCCTCTGGCACTTTGCTCTGTGTGTTTTGAAGAAAAATGAAAATGCATGTTCTCCTCATTGCAGAAGACCCTTGTTACTGTTCCTATGAAAAAGTATATTTAAAATACAGATTTTTGGTGTACGTGCAAAATGATCAGTAGGACATGCTCTATTTGATGAGCTAATCAACTTTCTAGTAGTTTATGGGAAATAATGATAAGCTATCCAAGAGGATTAACTAAAGATCGAATTGAAGGACTAAAAGAAAACACTCCCAGATTTTCTTTGCCAACTGACTTGCTTAGTGACCTTGGGTATATCATTTAGTCTGTCAGTTTCTTCATCTAAGGTGGGACTAACACCTAGCTTTAAAAGCTGTAATTAAGATTAACTTCTAGTGCTCTTAATCTTCAGAGTTTCTTACCAACAAATCCCAGTAACTATTTCTCTCTAAAATCTTAATAAAGGAAAAGATGGATGTTGTTGAGAATGATCAGATACTTGCTAGATTATAACTTCTGTCCTCTGAATCAGCATCCAGATGCATGCACACAGCTTCACATGCATTTGTACTGCATATGCATCTCTAGAGTGCTTCTTGCACTCTTCCTTGCATGCACTGTAAGAACTGGGCAATTAGCTGTACTTATGCAATGCACTTCAGGAAATAGAATATTGTGATTTGGAAAAACAGTCTTCAAATGGGGAGAGTGATGACACCTATCTCTCTTGCATGTGTTTTTAAGGAGATCTTCTGTTGCCTTCAAATTACCGTTGCTGTTAGGTGTTGCATCTCTCAAAGGTTGTTGAACAGAAGAGATTTCAGGCAAGCCAGGAGAACGTGAAAGATCTGGTTGAGAAATCTAATCTTGTTTCATAATATGTAGAACACACACAGAGCTATAGCTGCTTGATATGTTAAATATACAAACTTGAATTTAACATATGGTACAGTGTTGTAAGACATAATTAATCTGTATGCATAAACATTTCACAACTGAATAATGGCTGTGCTGGTCCTTGGTTAGTAGTGGTTATTAGGTTTACCACTTCATTACTCCCAGTATTAAATAAAATGTCTTCTGATATTACAGAAGAGGCTAGAGAAATGATATCATTTAGGCCACAAATGGCCTGTCTGCAACAGATGACACTGTCCTTTCCTTCTAGCTGTTATTTCTTTTCAAACAGCATAGAGTTGTATGCTGCTCCATATCTTGCCTGGTCTATTTGACAGATGAAGGCAAGCAGAATGCCTTACTTGACACCTGAAGCATGCTTGTATTAAACATCTGGAATATTAGGAGATCAGCTTTGTTTACTCATTTTTGACACCTCTGAAATAACAGAGAATGTTCCTTGAGTGTTTGCAAAAGTGGTGTGTGGATGGAGGGCAAATGGCAGAGATGCATATCCAGCAGGACTGGAGGCCAAACTGGGAAAGGGAACTCACACTTATTTCTGTCATTTCCATCTTCTGGTAAAGTGGATAAAGTTCTAACATTAAATGCAATGCCTTGGGACCGACTTTATGCTGAGAGTGTTGTTGATCCTGTGGGTAATGGTGGCAGAATGGCTGAGAAATGGCTTTGTGCTGTGTGGGCAGGTGGATTAGTAATGAAAGAAAAAAAGATTCCTTTAGGGACCACAGACTAGGAAAAATAATTTCATAGTTTTTTGTTTGTTTATTTGTTTTAAGGAAGAGTAGGCAAGTGGAGAAACTCAGATAAAGTTAATGTGATGATGGGGACATCTCAAAATAGCCTGTCCCAGAGAAGGGCAGCTACATGTATGAATTTTCTGGTATGTGCTATGAACTGAGAGGTATGATGAAGCAGGTCAGCTGGTGCAGTCAGGGTCTGAGCCAGAGATATAAAATCGGGTTTGGGGAGTTGGACAGATTATTGTATGTCCTAGAGCAAACAGACAAGGAAGCTTCATACAAATGTTTGATAACTTCATTAGATGGTTTAGAGTTGTATGCTGCTCCATATCTTGCCTGGTGTCTCTGACAGATGATGGCAAGCAGAATGCCTCACTGGACACTTGAAGCATGCTTGTATCAGACATCTGGAACATAGGAGATCAACTTTGTTTACTATTTTGACACCTATATTGTATTATAATATTACTATATGTTATTATTGCTTTCAGATCAAACCTGTGTTTATTCAATCAATGCAAACTGCAGTTCTTTTAATAAGACCTATAAAAATGAGTGCAGCATAACATTTAGCTTTTAAAAATATTCCAATGCAATTTTTTGTAAAAAGAGCCATTTTTGTCACATCATTTTGTTCCATCAATCATTCAGAAATCCTATTAAATAAAAAGGCGACTTTGTTGGAAACAACAGCAAAAAATATCATCTAACCTAAGAACATCTGAAATGAGATGTGTGTATGTATGTATGCATGCATGCATGCCAGGGAAGATCTGTACAAGGAATGATGATGTTTGTTTTCCAGGGCTGTTACGATTTGGTGACCAGTTTTATGGAGACAAATATGGGAATTATAGCTGGAGTTGCTTTTGGAATTGCATTCTCACAGGTAAGTGCATGAATGCTTCCTTCCCCCACTTTTTTTTCCCCTCTCTCTCTTTATCCTGACTTCAAGGAAGGAGGGATTATGTAAGGGACTGAACTCAGCATGCTCGTTAGTCCTGAGGTCATCTGTTCATTGATTTTCTTTTTTTCAACTTAAATGAAGTTTCTCCTTGGGAATATCAGTTACGGTAGAGCTAATGACTAACTCAAGGAAAACAACTTGTCCCTTCACTGGGTCAAATAGAGGTTAACCCAATAAAACATTGGCTTAAATGGAGCATAAACAGCAAAGAAGACAAATAGCTTGTCCATTGTTTGGATAAGCTTCTATCTTCTAAGCACTCTTACTGTTTTTTAAAGGAGTTAAGAATACAAATAAGGCACTTCAAGCCTCCCCAGCCTGGAGAAGGGGAAAAAGAGCCTGGAAGGGGCACTGGGTTTGGTGATTGATTTTTTTTCCTTGTAGCTGTGAACTCTCAGAACAGAAATCTGCCAAAACCAGTTTATTAAACCAGCTCCTTGCCTGCACCAAAATGTTTGGCATACGAAGGATAAGAGGAGAGCTAAAGAAGTTTTTGCTTGTCCCCAGTATCCAAACTGCCTTTTCCTTGCCAAGAGTTGGGGAAACTGAAAGGCTGGTCAGAATCATGTAATCAAGAAGTGGCAGGAAAACACCTACATCTTTCAGCAAGTCCTATCCTCCTTTATGCTCATCATTTCGTGTGTGATGACAAAGACTTTCTTGGAGATGAGCAAGATTGAGAGGGGTGGATATACCAGCAGTGAGAAACTGCTTTCAGAACATTGCAGTAAACTGTGTGACACTGTATGTGATGTCCAAGCCAGTTACTTAGGAGAGGAAGGCTGCCTTCTCTTGTGGATATTATTTGGTATGGCTGCAAGTGCCATATTCAAAAATTGTCGTGCAACTTCTACTTGCCTCATTCACACGACATTAATAACCTGTTTCCTGAGGCAACACTGGAAGTGTATCTGTTGAATGACTCAGGTTTAGCCAGTGCATGAAAAAAATGAACTGCTACGACACATTATTTGACTTCTTAAAACTCATGAATTCAGTTTGCAAGATGTAAATTTACACTGTGCTGCACTAAAATAAGTGATTTTCCACTGCTGCTGCAGGTGATGGGCAAGTGAATTAATGCAGGGGACGTAGTTGCTCTCTTGCCCTTGCTGCCCCATATGGTCATCCTGCGCTTGGCTGCACAGTGCTTTAGTCAGAGCTCTCTTGGGCTTAATTTGCTCAGCAGTTACTGTGGTTCTTCAGAGTAAGTGTTCCCAAACCCTGTAGAAAAAGACCACCATGTCCTCTTGGTCAACATATGCACAGCTCTAGATAGCCCTGAAAATGGGTGGGCTCAGACTGTTGCTGGCTCTACCTTGGGCATATGTGGAAACCCGATTCCTTCTTGCTTTGATGTTAGGTGTGAGAGGCCCCACACGTTGCCTTACATCCTGTTTTACGTGAGTGTAAAACTTGGTTTGCCATAGCTCCAGCCAGCCAGAGCGTGTCTGTGGGTGTCACCACTTTGGGGTTCAGAAGCAGAAAAACCACTGGTCTGGAGATGTTGGTGCATGGAGCAGGGGAACATTCCTTAAAAAACAGACTTTTGCAGTTCTTGCTGAGTGGTCACAGTTGTCTTGATACTCTTCTCCTACCTTGATTATGTCTTGCCTGCTAATGTAGAACTCTGAACTCTCTATTTCACTTTGGATTCTAGGCAGCTAGAAGGCTATGTAGCATCTTGTTAATTGTCTCATGTAAAATTCTCCAAAAAAATAGAATAAGTAGAACTTCTTGAGTAATTTGTATGCTGCTGGGGCAAGTTCCTCAATCAGGACTGATGTCACGTGAAACACTTTAATCAGTCTACCATACATAGGATAGACAAATAAACATCTTTTCTTGCCTGAAAGTTGCTTGCAACTGGGAGGGAGACTGTAGGAAGAATTGGGTTGGAACTGTTAGTATTCTGGCATGTGTCGAGATGCTTAGTCTGGGTCGTCAGTTGTCTGTGAATTTGACATGGGAAGGCAATGCTGCTGCAAGGGCAGGCAACGTGTATAAAGTGTGGTCCCCAAAGCAGGAGCCTTTTGGCCTAAGGGAAGATGAGCCCCAGTGCTGCAGGCAGCACAGCAGGGAGTGCTCTTTGCTGCTGTGTCTCCAAGTGAAACCCAAAGCGTGTTTAGATGTGGTGTTGGCAGGTCGCCTTGCCTAATGGCAATGTGAGCCCTGCTACCAGCTGGGATGTCACTCCCTTCCCTAAACACAAGCTCTGGCATGCTGAGGAGATATCCCAGGGTAGGAAAGGTCTGCTCAGGGTGTTTGTGAACGTGTGAAAAGGAGAAGAGAGGTGCTATAGGGGAGAAAAATGCTCTCCTGGTGTGTGAGGAATAGAAGGCAGACAGTTATCATTTACTGACATTTTGCTGGACCCGATTAGGAATGGTGTTTACAAATTGCTTTCAGGTTAACCCTGGCTGGCAGTGATGCCAGGCAGTGTTCCAGCTGTAGGCGGGGTTTCACTCTTCCTATTGAGAATAGTTTTAATCTAAGTAAAAGAGAAATTAGATCGTGTTGCTCTTCTACAGCAAAGCATGCTCCAGGGGCCTTTCCTTCAGATGATTTGTTAGCTGGTGAGGTTGACTAACATGAAGAATGTGCTGATTCTCCAAAACAGGGAAAGCTGATGTAACAGCATTACACATCTTGCAGGCTTGGCACAGATCTCCCAGTCAGAGTCAGAGTTTTAAGAAAATCTGCTGTGTTGCTGACATTGTCTGCATGCTCAGAAGCAGGCACTGCTTCTTGGGTTTGAAATGATAATAATAAAACACCATTTGATTGTTTTTGCAATCAGATGCCAATGCTTATTCCCAGCTGGAATAATTTCAGGTTAGCAGGTGCTCTTCAGAGCAGCAAAATGATTCTGTTCTGCCCAACAGAGAATAAAAGAATGCAAGCGAGATAGGTGATGAAGAGCTTTTTCCTAGAGAAAACTACAGTGCAGGGTGAAAGAGAGAGGGTTTGTTGGAGGGATTATGGACTGTGTTTGCTTTAGGGTCACTGAGTTGGAAACTCTCAGTGTGTTGTTGGGGCCACATTCTTTCCTTCTCTACTGAAGGTCTGGAATCCAGGTGCTATCCATATGCTCGAAATCAGACACTGAGCATGTATATACAGCTCCCATTTGTAAATGAGTTCTCATGTGGCTTCAGTCCCTCTATGCAGTGCAGAACCCACCTGCCCTCTTACATGTGGGTATCTCTACTGACTGTGGACACAGTTCTGGCACAGGCATCATCCACCTTGTCTAATTCAACTCCTGACAAATATATGGAAGCTGATACTTGGCTTGGTCTTGGCACAGCCCCCACAGAGGAGTATTGTCCCTTTTGCAAGGGCTGGGGAGCTGAATCTGTATTGGAATCCAATGTGTGACTTGAAATCTGACATAGAACTAAGTCTGCTGCTTCTGAAGACCAACCGCTGTGGATTGAGTGTGGAGATAGGACCTGTGCCAAGGATGTGTCAGTGCACAGGAGGCTGACTTGGGTATGAGGCACATAGCATGGAAAACATCATGTCTTCTAAAACAGAGTTAGGGACCCGGGTTGCTTGAAACTCTGCATATTGAGAATATGGCAAGGTAAATCATTGAACTACACTATTATTCCTGACGGATAAAAGAAGTGATTTTAGGTTACCCAGTTCACTGATGAACTGTGTTCCATTACTTCAGCATTTGTATTTGTAGACACTTCAGTGTGGCTCCAATGAATGAGAAATGGTGAAAATACTGAGAACCAAAATAAAGAAGAAATTCAAATTACACTTCATATTCTCTTCAGTATAATAACATAAAAATATGTCCTGCAGAACAGCTTTCACTGTTAATTCCTGTGAAAGACAGTCTTTGTGTGTGTGAAAAGAAATAGGATTGCTAGGAAGTTGTTGTGGATAGATTTCAGTGATCACATCTAAGGTAAGATTAGTCCTACATACCATGGAGAAATGAAAAATGCATGTACTGCATTGTGCTTCCTAGAATGAACTTTGGACAATAGGACGATTGTAAAGAAGATATGCCTGAGGGGTGTTGGTTTTCCATTGCTCTAGCCCAGAGAATTTGTCCACATTTTCAAGTTTCCTATGGCAAGACCAGAGGTATCAAAGTGAACCCTCTGGTTTTCATTTAGTATTTCAGAAGTCAAAGCAAATCTTAGAAGAGAGGGGAGAAAAAGTGAGAAAGAAGACACGCCTTTATGTGTGTGAACACTTTTATGTGTTCAAAGTAATTCTAAGATATTTGTTACAGCTCTGCTGTGTCCTAGCAATAGCTCAAAGTGCCTTATAAAATCAGTGTATGCAATAGCTTGATATGCACCCTATTGTTTTGAAATACAAAAGTTGAATATTATGGTACTATAACCACTTAAGTGCATAAACCAGCATAAATAATTAGGGCCAAGAGTTAAAGAGCAGACCAGAGATCAGAAAAACATTTGTGCATTCATGTGTAACCTGTCATTCATCTTACAAGTCACTTGCTTACACCAAAACATGATTATGTGCTTGCAAGTGCTGTGAAACTTTGCCAGCTACATGTTAGAGAGTTGCATCCTGCATGAAAGAGAAGAATCAGTGATTGAGGTTAGCTGGGAGAGGTCTTCTGCAACAAGCCTTTCAGACTGCAAACATGGGATTGAGTACAACAAAACCACCGCTGGGTCAGTTGCTGGATAATGTTGCAAAGAGTACGTATAGGATCTACCATCAGCTTAGTATTATTGATTTCCAACTGAATTTTCTGTCAGTCTGACCACTTTGCCTATTATACTGCTGTCCTTCGGAGGATAGCCAGACCTTCTCTGGCCTTCCCCAAACCTTTTGAGTGTAAATGACACCAAGGTCTGTCACCCAAAGGGACACTCTGTGTCACACTGTCTGCAACAACAACAACAAATTGTTGGCATGACTGGTCACAGGCAAGACTTGAGCACTCTAGCTACCAAGTTTTCTGCAGAAACATCTGTCTAAAGACATGAAGCAGAAAAGGCAACAATGTGGCTAAAATGTTTTCTTGCTATCAGTGAGATTTTCAAAGCTGTGGAGGGTTTTTGGCACCCACATCTCTCTCAGCATCTGTGAAAATATAGCCCCCAAAACCTAGTAGCTGAGATTTGTATTGGAGGCTGTTCAGGAAGTGTTACCTGTGACCCAAGTCCAGTTATAACCAAGGCAGTATCATCCTTGTTATTTGGTGTCGAAATGGGTGTTTGCGTGTCGGATGGAGCTGGTAGAGATTCAGGCTGATGACTCCATGCCCTTTGGAGGTGCCTCGCATAGTCATGGCGGGATGTGATCTGACACCCAGCACTTGTGCCATGCTGCTCCTGGGGTGGTTGTGCTGGCTGGATATCAGGCACTCTCTGAAACAGGAGAGGGAGTGGTAGTAGCAAATTTCCAGCTAGTGAAGTATGGCTTGACCAGAGATACGAAGTCTTAGGGGCATAAAGCAGTTTATCTGGATGTATGGTACCCCAGCTTGGCCTTGCTCTGGGCTTATGCCAGCTCAGCTGTGACATGTGTTGAGTCACTCAGCTGTGCAAGGCTCCTGCAGCAGAGTCTGCCTTCTTGAGCACAAGCCAGTCCCAAAAAAGCTAGCTGGGAGCTGGAGCAGCTGGGACGCCCCAAGCGTTAGCAAGAGCCACTGCAGCTGGTTGGAGCAAGGTCAAGTTGAGGCTGATACTCTCGCAGAGGCAGCCCCCTCGCCTCACCCTGTGGCTGGTGATGAACTGTGACAATCTGGATATGCTCATGAGTTAATTAATTGACCAGTCCAAATGAGAAAAATGAGGCTGAATTATGTATAGTGCATTAACGCTGTTAGCATATGGAAGAAATGCTAACAAATGGCAATAGGCAAAACGTTAGAATGACTGAGAGTTTATTGAAGGGTGGAGACGAGGGATCTGTTTTCAATAATCTGAGTTATATCCAGGGGAATAATGAAAGGCTTTTTTTTTTTTTTTTTTTTTTTTAATTTCCAGATTTATAGTGTTCATTTATCAAGTGCTGCATCATTTGTAAAGAAAGCATAAATGCCTGGGGGGTCAGGAATTGAGTGGAGTGGGTGAGTGAAATGCAGCCAGGCAGCAGCCCATTGGGTATCCTGCCTGTGCTGGGCTGGCAGCAGGATGGAAAAGTAGTAAAATATGTGCTATCAAACAAAAAGGCTCTGATAATGATCAAGAGGAAGGTCCCATGAGGAAGGACAAGAAATTTTAATGCCATTTCTCTGATCAGAGGATAGGGAATAAGTTCTGTTGTGGGTGATAGCACCAGAACCTGAAGTCTCTGCTTACCACAGCCTCTCCTTTGCTCTGCATTCACTCAACACAACTTCTTCTGTTCTTGTTTGAAACAGTTGATCGGGATGCTGCTGGCGTGCTGCCTGTCCCGGTTTATTACTGCTAACCAGTACGAGATGGTGTAACAAGGTGAGCCTTTCCTTCTTCTATTAAAGGTAATGGACAAGTGACATAATAATCAAGAATTTAGTCTTCCCACGTGATTTCTTGCTTTGTGTTTTTCATTCCAGTGTTCTGTCTCGTTGAAAAAGAAAGGGGGGAAAGGGGGAGAGGGAGAGGGAGAGGGAGAATGTACGATTGACTGTCTTGCCACTTCAGCCTTCTTAGAGAGTGCACAATACCTGCTGCTGGCACCCAAACCGACCCACCTCTTGTCTTTTGTCCCTTCATCCAGTCTTTCGGAAGCGTGAAGCCCAGCGCCTGTCCCAAGATCAGGAACTGCAGCGTTCAAGAAAGACTGACACGAATGTTATAGCACACACTGTCTCTCGCACGCACGCACGCACACCCCCACAAGCAAGCACGTGCGCGTGCGCACACTCGCCCCCTCTCCCTCCCCCCCCAACCTCCCGACCTGCCCCATGCGTAGTGTACCATCCTGTGAAGCACCGCCGTGCGCCCAGAGCCGACCCCCGGGCCAGGACGGCGCGCTCTTGATCACGCTGTAGTTGCATTGTAAGTTAACACAGGTAATTCATTAACAGCATCGATCAGGCTGTGCATGTAGTGACCGGAGGGCACGATTAGCCTTTCACCATGGTTAATAAGTGTTGCACACATTCATATAAACCGGTATATGAAATATGTATTCTTTTGGGTTTATCTTAATTTCTTGGTTTGTTTATGCTTTACTAAGGTTTTCACCCTTTCCCCCTTCCCTGCTCCCCTTCCCCGCAAACAAAGGAATCGGTAACATAACATAAAGATACTTGAAAACGATGTTAAAATGTTGTGCTTGAAGGGAACCGTTCCTCCTGGTGTTCTTCGACATCTTTGATTCTTACTCAGTGTTGTATGCCCAGTGCGTATCCCAGTAGGCTTCGTCTAGTGCATTTTGCCTCTGAACCTGATCCTGTGTAATACTGTTATGAAGCTGTGTTGTCGCTTACTGTGAAGGCAGTAATTTTGCTCCCTTTATTTTTATTAGATAGCTATGAACTAATTGAACCGTGCTGTACCGCGGCCTTCGGACTTTTTTCCTCTTCTTTCTTTTTCTTTCTTCTTTTTGCATTGAGGTTGCAGCCACCAAGTACATCGTTGAATCAAATCAAAATAGAAACAACAAAAAAACTCACAGACACCACCACCAACAGGCATATGGAATATTTTTGGGGGAAAGCAAAAATTTAAAACCTTTTTAAAAAAACAATAGGACTTTTTTAATAATGCCTCTGTCTAGCATGCCAACGAGAATGCATTGATATTGTGAGTATTTGTGATATATGTATTAATAAATGGAACCATTACAGATTTCTTGCTGCTTCCTTTTTGTTCTTTAGTCATAACAAAACTCTTTTGAGGGGGGAAGTGAAAATGAAACACGAGTGCACAGCTTGGAGTGACATGCCTTTATGCATATTTTAACAACCAACTTGTTTTTGACAGAAAAATGTTATTACCCTGGGAAAAAAAAAAAAAAAAAAAAAGAAGAGCTGGAATTGTTTCAAAGCTCCAAGAAAAACCTTCCACAGCTGGTTTCGCCATGTGACAAATACATACCCTCTGCTTTGCAAATTCTCTTCTTGTGACTGATACAATCTGCAGCGTTTAATTATCCCGTCCTTTGCGCCGCGCGTGATTGTGGCGCTAAGCATTTCTCTTTGATTTTAGTGAGCGTGTGGGTGGGGGAAGAGGGATGGGGGGGGATCACAGCCATCTCTGCTGCGTTCGTGGAAAAGCCTTTCTTTTCTTTCTCATCGGATGCGCAAAGGCTTGAGTACATCTGTGTGAGAGGAGCACTGCGTGCTGGGGAGCCCACAGTGTGCTTTGTTGCAGGAGCCTCTGGTGGCTGGGGATGCCCTGACTTCCAGCTGAAGGTCCTTTGTGTCTGAGCTGTTCCCTCACCACCATGCAGGCATAGCAAGCAGAGAATGTCGTGGTACGTATCCTGCGGAAGTGCGCTTCCCTACCTCAAACAGATGCACTTACATGCTGATATGAAAGCTGTGGGCTCACCCATAACTGAAGAGGGGCTGAACTTTCAAGATCTGAACAGCTCGGGCTGAGAGCTGTTGCACACCAAATCCTGCTTATCTCATAGAAGCGTTTCTATCCCTTTTTTCCTACAAACCAAATAACTACCTTTGATCAAATGAAGTGCTCACAAAAGCAATTTTTCCATCTCCCTTCTCTCTCCCCATCTTTCCCACCAATCAAGCTGTCCTTGAGATTTAAATCTAACTCAAAACATTGACTACATGGGGTAGAGTGGAGACCAAGCTTTTGTTCTGCTCTCTCATTAGCCCTTGTTTGTTGCTGCTTGATTTATTTGCCTTTCATTTGTTTTCTCCCATGAACACTAAGCACTGTGGATTGGCGCTGAAGTCACTTATGAGCTGTGTGGATTCAGGCTTAGCGCTTGCACCTGCACCCTTGGATGAAAAAATAATAGTGGCTTGAGCAATTGCTTGGGCCATAGGATGCTAGAGCAATGCCTCTTCCTGCATTTGTCCACACTGGGAAGATCGCACCCGTGAGCTACCCATGTTTTTCTCCTGTTAACCTCCAGGTAGGTGTCCCCCAGGAATAACAACCAGGAGCAGGTCCCAGCATCACTGGCAACCCTCGTGTCAATGAGGATCACACATTCTTCTGAAAATACACACACACACAGAGCCAGGTGCTAGAGCCAAACTACTTTTCCCCTGAAAGCACAACATGGCTCTGGCAAGGATGAAGCAGTAGCAGAGAAAGTTACCAGTGTGAGCTGAAAAGGTTTGTATTGGTGAGTATGACTGTGAAGGAGCCCCGTGTCACAGGACCTGGGCCTGATCACGCTGCCCAGGGCCCCATCCAACCTGACCTTGAGTACCAGGGATGGAGCACCACAGCTCTGGGCAGCTGTGCCAGCGCTTCACCATCTCTGGGGAAAAAAATTCTGCCCAACATCTGACCTAAGTCTCCCCTCTTTTAGTTTAAAGACATTTACCCTTGTCTTACCACTATCTGCCTGGATAAAAAATCAGTGATGTTGAGCAAATTGATTTACTAACAACACTCCTGATCTGGATTTATCATGGAATCATGGAATCAATAAGATTGGAAAAGACTGTGACCATTTAGTCCAACCAGCAGCCCATCACACCATGCCCACTGCCCACGTCCCTCAGTGCCACATCCACATGGTTCTCAAACACCTCCAGGGACTCCACCACCTCCTTGGGCAGCCTGTGCCACTGCCTCACCACTCTTTCTGAGGAGAAATTGTTCCCAATAGGCTGTCTGGCAGGGTAGGAAGCCATGCTGTGTGTGCTCTGTCTGCATGAGAAACAGAAAACATGGTACAAGAAATGGCTGTTGCCCCATAAGAGAAATTCTGGAGTGGGAGAAAAAAGCAAAAACATATCCCTCTATTTTTTCAGTCAAAATGGTTTTAAGTGCTGTAGGGATTGCAAGACTGCAAAAAGCCTGTGGTGCACATGCAGTGATGTTCATGGCCAGCTTAAATCCATGGCATGGCCTGAGGCTTTGTGAGAGTGGTTTGTACCCGTGGGCTTGTTGTGCTTATGTGGGATTTACTTTCATCATTGTGTTTGTAGTTTATTACATGTCAAAAGAACCGGTTAATCCTTCTGTTGATTATTCAGTGTCTTCAGGCTGATAGTTATTCGTAATTAAAAGCGAGTAAAAGTCGCCTGGAATTTTCTTCCTCCCAGGATTCACTGTGATGCACATGTTGGGTGTGTTAATTTTTCCTCCAGCTACAGAAGCTGGCCCACTGAGCCCATGGGTTACTGTGCATGCTGCTGCTTTCACCTTCCTACAGTCTCTGGCCCTCAGTGCAGAGGATGGCTTCCCCTCTGCACACGAGAAGAAGCTCAGCCCACAGTTTGTTTGGATTGCGTACTTTATCTGCTACACTATGAAAAAGAAATTAAAAAAAAATAGCTTTATGAGACCAATTCAATAAAAAAGTTATTGGCAATTAGCACGGTCTTTTTTTTTTTTTAAAAAAAAAAAGTAATTAGCTCTCCTGCCCTGAGAATTAATGAATGCTTATCATTAGACCCCAAGGAGCAGTCAACCCAATAATAATCCATTTCAGGTTAATGTTGTTCTAAGCTAGCGTTGTTTGAAAATGCAGGCTGTGGGGTGATCACAAACACGAGGCACTCGTACTGCTGGTGAGCACTGGAGCAGAGGCTTCAAAATGAAATGCTATTAAGCATAGATGTGGCACTGACAGACATGGATTCATGTGCAGCATTGGTGGTAGGTGGGCGGTTGGACTAGATGATCTGAGAGGTCTTTTCCAATCTTAACAATTCTGTGATTTTATGATTAATTTGCTTGGCTTAGTGTGACAGAATCAACTTCATCAAGGAGATGAAGTGCAGCACCCAAAAAGATGGGTGTCTCTGGGTGCAAATCTTATGACACTGCTGGAGATGTGCCAGTGCTGGTCACTACCCTTTGATGAATGTGTCCATAGAGCCCAGCAGGGCAGAACGTGAGCCATGTGTGTGACTATCAGGAGGTGGCAGATCCACCATCTAAGGCTGTTTGGCAGCAGGCAGAGTCTGGGGGGAAAGAGCAGCACTGGCTTTGGACCGATGTGAATTTTAATAGCTGGTTCTGCTGAACGTCTGTCTCTGTGTGGCCACATCTCTGCTGCTTCACCATTATGTGCAGCAAGATGAAGCTCCCAGGTGAGCAGAATGTAATGACTGCTCGGCATGCAGTGCTGTACTGCCTGGGGGTGATCGCACAGTATCACAGCACTGCCCTTCTGGATGCATCAGGGATGCACAGGCTGAGTATAAGGGCAGGAAAAAATGGGCAGAAGATAGAAAGGAGAGTATTTGGAAATGCAGACTCCATTGAGGTCATCTCAGTGAGCACAGGGCCACGTTACAGTTGGTTTAGGCAACCTCAGTTTTGGCATTTTGTAGATTATGGATGCCTAGCTGCAGCTGTAAGCAGTTTTCAGCAGACATTTGTTTCAATGTAGTTACTTAGCTTTAAAAAAAATTATTTAAGGGAAACTTATCTTTTTCTTTTTTCAGCCATGTTCTGAGGGAGGCTGAAATCCTTACAGCAACCCCTCAGTTCTTGCTGAACTGGTCACTACATGATGGCAGAGCAGCACTTGGCTGTTCTGTGGAGAAGTGGGGATGAAGGGGTGCTTGCATGGGGGAGGCCAATCCATGTGCTGCACTTTGATTTCAGCATCAAGGGAAAGAAAGCATTCCTCCATTTAACACCAGTAAGTGGTTTACCCCTTCTTCAGCCCTTTTTGCTGGAAGGGTTAGCAGAGCTCTGGGGAAAGTTTTACAAGGGGGAAGAAAAGTCACTTTTTTCTAACTTAAAAGGTTTTTAAAAGGTCAGCCAGCTGGGATTAGTTCATTTGATCATTTAGATCATTTTCTTGCAATATCATGGTGGGTATTCTTTGCAGGAATGGCTGAAGCTGGGAACCACACAATCAAAGAATATCCCGAGTTGGAAAAGATTCACAAGGATCACCTAGTCCAACTCTGGCCTCCACACAAGACCACCAAAGATCAAACCCCATGTCTGAGAGCACTGTCCAGACACCATCTGAACTCTGGCACTGGGGGGGCCGTGCCCACCGCCGTGTGGTGCAGACCCTTTCCCTGACCCCCATCTGCCCTCCCCTGACACAGCTCCATGCCGTTCCCTCGGGCCCTGTCGCTGTCACACAGAGCAGAGCTCAGCGCTGCCCCTCCGCTCCCTGTGAGGAGCTGCAGCCGCCATCAGGCCTCCCCTCAGCTCCCCTGCTCTGCACTGACGACACCCAGGGACCTCAGCTGTCCCTCGTATATCTTGTCCCCTGAACCCTTCATCATCATCACAGCCCTTCTTTGGTCACGCTCTAATAGTTTTATGTCCTTCTGTTGTGCCCAAAGCCACACACAGCAACGAAGGTGAGAGGTCTCAGAGCAGAGCAGGTGCAGGAGCAAGGCCACCAGGTCCTGGGGGCTGAGCAGGCAGCACAGGAACGATTGCCAGGCTCTGGGCAGCCTGCCAGGCTAGATATCCAGAAAAACAAAAGCTCATTTCTGAAAGCATCAGTTACAAAGATTGCAGCTCAAAGCCTTGCCTCCTCCTCTCGAATTATTGCTTTCAGGTGGCAGCCTCAGGTTGGGGTGACTCCTCTAGCCAGCTCCCAGCAATCAGGATTGCCAGTGTGAGAGGCTAAGGGTGCTGCTGGTGTCATGTCACTGCTGGGCTTCAGAAAGAAGACAAGGAGAGATGCACTGGGTAAATAAGGAAGCCCTTTATCTTGCAG